CTGGCAACGGATAGAAAAACTTCAGGGCATCGCTTGGATCGCGAATCTTTTACTAATGATTTCTGTGTTTCGGAAATTACATTCTTGAACGTCGTTCACAAGGACGGCACTCGATCGGCAGATCAAATAAGGAAAATCATCAACATGTGGTCTCTCGCCATGAATCAACTCCGTGTTATTCAAAATTCTTTAATTTGTTTTGTTGAAGAGATTCTTACAATGTATCTGATCTTGTACACCATTATATAATCGACAACGAGAACAATTTTCAGTTGATCCAGGAGATCTTTTTGTTAAATTTCTTTGGCGTGCTTTTGCCAAGCCGATATAGTGACAGTGAAATATGAGATATTTCTAATCCTTGAGAGTAATATGATACTCTTTCGGCTGCAACACATGATTAATCTGTTGTTTTATCATTTCGTCAAGAAAAAAATATTTTATTATTGTCTCGTACAGTTAGAATTTTACTATTTTACAAATTCAGAAACATTTTCAATACGTACAAATCATTCCTACCACCCCTCCCTGAATAGCAATTTATTTTAGCACCCAAAATCTGGGAGCCACGTGACCAGCCGGCACCAGGGTCTTTCCGCAGCTTGGCGCGTGCGAAGGTAAGAGCCTGGGTACGAGGTTGGTGTCATCCCAGTTTATTTAATATACTACCAGTGACACTAACATCATGGTATAATTATACAGAAAGTTATGGTTACATTTTGGCAAAAGGAGTCTGACTTTAAGTCAAAGGGCTGCAGTAGAATTGCAGGGCTGCAGGTTCAATTCATGCTGGCAGGCTTTTAATTGTATTAAAACTGTCTGTACCAGTACCAGTGTGGATAGTACCAAACGAATGTGAAATTGCTGTGCTGAGTGGTTATATTACTACCTGAAAAAAACCCCAGAAACTCAACGTTTTTAGCAAAGACCCTTCGCTCGAAATGTTGAGTTTCTGCTTTTTTTTTTCAGGTAGTAATATAACCACTCAGCACAGCAGTTGTAATTGTATTCCTTTGCTATTGCTCTCACATAGTTCTAAGGTACCGGTAGCTCTAGTTTATTTAATTGTCTTATTATATTGTATTGATAGATTTTTTATTAAATTCCATGTATACATGTTCAGTGATGTAAGACTCACAAATTTTCTTCATTTTAATGCAGTGTATAGGTTGTGACATTAAATTGGTCGAAATGACCAAAAAAAAATGGTCGAAATGACAAAAAAAAAATTGGTCACCTGGATGCATCTGAGAGAACCAATTAAAAATGGTTGTTTTAACCAATAAAATTAACCATTTTATTAATTGGTCAAAACAACCAAAAATATTTGGTTATATTAACCAATTATTATTGGTTGAAATGACCAATTAATTAATGGTTAATTTTATTAGTCAAAACGACCATTTTTAATTGGTTCTCTCAGATGCATCCAGGTGACCAATTTTTTTGGTCATTTCGACCAATCAGTTTTTACAGTGTACAATTAGGGATTAATAGTACTCGTGATGCTTGGAAATTTGCCAAATTGGACTCGCCCCGGCACCTCGTCCAATCTTGGCAAAATTTCCAAACATCACTCGTACTATTAATCCCTAATTGTACTTATCATCGCATGATTACCTATACTGTACTAACGTTTTTTCTTCTACAGGGTGTATCAAAAAAAGTAAGACAATTTTGAAATTGCTCTCAATTCCACAATTCTGTTCATGAAATGTAATTTTTTATATGTTTGGATTGCTTGAGTTCTTAAATTATGGAAAATATAAAAAAATTTGAAAATAGTAAATTTTGCTATCCAGGGGGGTGGTCAACTTTTGCTCTCCTAAAAGTGGCTTGCGCACGGAAATGACAAACGGTATTCTTTATTTGAGTTCATGTATGAAAAGTTCGCTATTTGTTGCATTTATGATAAAATTTCGGCAAAATTTTACCGAGTACAAATCCTACGAAAAGCCTATGAAAACGTTACATTTTTCTCTGTTGGTGCTGTTCTTGCTTCATTATGAAATCATTTTTACTCCCATGAGAGTCCCGTGGAATTTCCATGGAATTTGTGCTTTCGAGTTGTTTGTGCTGAAACGTATTTTCTCGTATAATACCCCGTACACTTTGAAATGGCGATGCCACAATTTACCCCGCAGCAGAGAGCTTTTATGGTATCAGAGTTCCTCCGTAGCAACAACATAGACTTGGTTCGCCATAGTTTCACGAAAGAATATCCAGATGTACGATGCTCTTCACGTGCGAATACGGAGGGCATTGTACATCTGGATATTCGTTCGCGAAACTTTGGCGAACCAAGTTTATGTTGTTGCTACGGAGGAACTCTGATACCATGCATAAAAGGTCTCTACTGCGGGGTAAATTGTGGCATCGCCTTCTCAAAGTGTACGGGGTATTATACGAGAGAATGCGTTTCAGCACAAACAACTCGAAAGCACAAATTCCATGGAAATTCCACGGAACTCTCATGGGAGTAAAATGAATTCATAATGAAGCAAGAACAGCACCAACAGAGAAAAATGTAACGTTTTCATAGGCTTTTCGGAGGATTTGGTACTCGGTAAAATCCTGCCGAAATTTTATCATAAATGCAACAAATAGCGAACTTTTCATACATGAACTCAAATAAAGAATACCGTTTGTCATTTCCGTGCGCAAGCCACTTTTAGGAGAGCAAAAGTTGACCACCCCCCTGGATAGCAAAATTTACTATTTTCAATTTTTTTTATATTTTCCATAATTTAAGAACTCAAGCAATCCATACATATAAAAAATTACATTTCATGAACAGAATTGTGGAATTGAGAGCAATTTCAAAATTGTCTTACTTTTTTG